TGAGCCAAACGCAAAGTTATGATCATTGACCCATACCGGTTCCATAATCGGCTGGCTGTAATCACTACTGAAACAGGTGTGATGGCCGATGTTTTGCAGCTTCATAACCGTCTCGCAATAACGCAGCGGTTCCTGGATCGCAGAAGTAAATACTGTGGTCCCTAAACAGACCTACCTTTACCTCTTTCCTCCTTCTTGCATGCATTGCTCATCGTCGTTCTCTTCCATATTTCAGTTCTTTGAGAGTTCGTGCGCCGGAATAAATGGTTAATGTTCCAAAAGCTTGCTTGAGACATACGATTTCCGTTTCTTAATTTTGACAGAGATGACGTTTTCTTCACGTGGTCCTGCGATTTAGGCCTCGATACGGGTCGAATTCAGTGCTGCTGTACCAGGTTCAGACGGAACCAAGACACGACAGACTTTGTGGAAACAGTTAATCTCGTCTCAGCCAGAAGATTGGAAAGCTTTTTAAAATCAAGCGAAAAATTAAATCCTCCTGTTTACCTGCGCTTAGAAGACATTGCCAGTGAAAATGATTTAGCTTAATTCCTTAAGTTGGACGAGATCCAATTTTTGCTCCATATTCCACATGTACATAGATAGCACATAAAATGTTCCACATGCTGAAAAATTGTTCGTAATGAGCACTATATAATTCTATGTAACCCAGTGATGCGAGGTTCATCGGACATTGCAAGTGGTATAATGTCATGGAGCCGTGGCCTGCTAAAATAATTGCTTTAATACTTAAATAGCTGATGAATTAATTAATTTCTGATGAACTTCTTGACAATATTGCGTCACGCATAAGGGTCTTACTGTTTTTCTAAGGGTTGATTAGTGGCGGGTAAAGCAAACCTACAAACAGCAAAACAAACGTTTACTTTCACTCATCAGTTTCCGTTTTATTAACCGCTCATTTTTCATTTTCATCATCTTCATCTTCCATCGCCGCTTCTCCTTTCGGGTCGCGGAGGCAGACACGTCAGACAGTGCTTC